ACACACACACACACACACACACACACACACACACACACACACACACACTCTCTCTCTCTCTCTCTCTCTCTCTCTCTCTCTCCTCTCTCTCTCTCTCTCTCTCTCTCTGGCTTTTAACCCTCAGAGACCTTCCGAGACGGGCAGTCCCAGGATTCCGTGATCATGTAGCTGCCGTGATAGTTCATGTTTATTGAAGTTCAGGCTCAGATGCTGTAATCGAGACCCCAGAATACAGTGGCAGTTTCCACCGCAGAAATCTTTCTTTAGAGAAAGAATGGGTAAACAGCTCTTATTTACCATTATGTCAATTGAGGCTTTTAGAATCCTTGGATACAAAGTCCTTTTAGCATAAGTAAGTGGTGAAATTGAATCGTTTGTGTTTACGATATTCATGTAAACAACTGAGCGTAGCAGACAAGTGAAACCAACAGGCTGATTAGCACTGGGACGGTTCCTGTCCTCTCCCTGCGTATCCTTGGCTTTAGAAGAAGCTTTAACCCAGTGTAGGGAGGGACACTGTTGGTTCTGAGGTTTCTCCGTTAGGCGTCAGACCAGCTAGCAGGAACTTGGCTGCCTTCCGTGCCTGAAGGAGGATTTTATTATTTTAGATACGGAAAAGAGGGACTTACATGCTTTTCTCAAAGGCGTTGTTGGAGGGCCTCTTGGGAAATTTCACTTTGGAGCCACCAGCTGGGGCTGTTTCGTCCTCCCAGGGGTTGTCATTACTCTTCTTCACCGCCTGCTGGGTCTTAGTCCCCACGGCCACCCTTCGGTCTACTAACTTGCCAAAACAGCCCTCAGAAGTTGGAAAAGCTGTTATACTCGTGGCTGCTGTTGAGTGAAAGGACACAGACTAACATCAGCAAAGGGAGAAGGTGCGTGAGAGACCAGGCGCGAGTTTCCAGTTACCTTCTCCCGGTGGAGTTACACCGCCGGCCCTTAGCTCTCCCAGCAGCGACACGTGACGGCAGATGAGGAGACTGCTAGCTAAGGACGTGCGCCAGCCCTGGCTTCTGGGGTTTTCATTGGGGTTGGTCACATCGGCCTGGAATGGAGGCGCCCTGTTTCCAGCCCCTGCAGAGGTCAAGTTGATGCCACGTGACCCAAGGCCCCCACCATAAATCACATTGTTAGCATAACCTGTCAGGCATGGCCCAGGTCCCCGGGTGAACGGAGACCTTTTCCTCAGGCTGGATGTTGCGGATGCTTAGCGATCGTCTCCCTTTGGAACGTGCCACGTTTGAGCAGCCTTGGGCCTGCCGGGTTAGCCCTTCACTGCACTGGCTTACTTCATCGCTTCATTTCATGAAGTGCTCGCTTTCTCACCCCACAGCTCATGGAGGGCGGTGTAGAACTAACTGTGCTGCCTGCTGTCCAGGAATATGTGAAGTAGGACAGGGCTCCAGTGGGGATCCAGTTTTGATTAACAAGAACTAATTGTGTTTATGTGCCCTTTTTTTGATACATTGCTTCATATGTTTTGTGGAAGCAGATGGGGGACAGGTTACCCGGCTATCCTGAGGTAGAGTGTTCCTGTGAAACCTGTCATAAGCTGAAATGGCATGAAGCAAAGAAGCAGTCTTCTTTTTTGTAAAAGCAAAAACCTTCTTTGGATTTCTCTTGGTTGGTGAAAGCAAGGACTCGTGTCGGTCTTTCATAAACGCAGAGTGGTGTAAAGTGAACTTTTGAAAAGTGGGGCATACTTGTATGTATGCACATATTGTAAATCAGAGTTTGTAATATTGGTAACTCACTAGGGATTCAAAAATATTTCTCTATTCCTTCATTTTTTTTCTTTCAGCAGACATGTATTGAGCCCCTACGATGGTCCAGAAACTGCTGGGTAGTGGGACAATAAGGGTGAATAAGACTTGCTCCTTACAGCACGCGGAGACTAGCAGAGAGAGTAAAAGTAACAGAAATGATGAAGACAGTAAACTCCCACACGTCAAGCCCTTTGTGAATCAGACACTGTTGCAGGCACTTTAATAGCCTCAGCCACCCTTTGGGATTAGATGGGTGTTTCCATGTCACAGACCGATCTCCAGAAAGGTTAAGTCCCTTGTAGCAAGCAGTAGAGCCGGGGTTATTACCTTGTCTGTTTTTCCCGGGTACCGTGTTTTTGTGCAGTGGTTCCTGCAGATTCTTCAGAACAGCTGAACATTTCTTGTCTGCTGGTACGAGATGTGAGAAGTTGCTTCCCGTAGTAACAGTCACGGTGCTTGCTTTGTGCGGGCCTTTAACGTGTCCCCAGAGCCGGACGCGGGCTTGGGAGGTAGTGGTCTGCCCTCAGGTGTTTGTTTTACGAAGGTGCTGCGGTTGAACACTCTCCCCCTGTCCCGGGTTGTTGCCTTGTGCAGTGCCTTCTCTCAGAGCCTCCTGTCCTCCCCTCAGTGCCCGGAGGTGCGGCTGAACATCATCTCCAATCTGGACTGTGTCAACGAGGTGATCGGCATCCGGCAGCTGTCCCAGTCCCTGCTCCCTGCCATCGTGGAGCTGGCTGAGGATGCCAAGTGGCGGGTGCGGCTGGCCATCATCGAGTACATGCCTCTGCTGGCTGGACAGCTGGTGAGGGCGGAGGCCTGGGACCAGGGCCATCTGGTCACCATGTGCTGTGTCCGGGGCTGTGCCAGGGTGACGGGGGCCATAAGGGCTCAGTGGAAGATGTGAGGACTGGGGAGTCAGAGGAAGGCACGCGGGAAACGGGGCCTTATCAGATGGATAGAATTCAGTGAGCAAGAGGAGAGAAAGGAGCCCCTCAGGTGAAGGTGAGAAGTGTCCCGTCCATGTGGGGTGGGTGTGGATCCCCTGGGGTTCGCTGGAAACCAGTCTTCCTTGATCCCTTACCTCCTTGTCTTCCGCAGGGGGTGGAGTTCTTTGATGAGAAACTCAACTCCTTGTGCATGGCCTGGCTGGTGGATCATGGTGAGTACCCCAGTGTCTGGCAGGAGACTGGGGCTCCGGGAAGGATGCATGGGAGGGCTGCCTGGGGCTGGTAGGAGGAGTGGGGGAGGCTGGAGTTGAGCTCGCAGATGCTCGCGTAGACCAGCTCCCTTGCCTGTCAGAGTCCTGGAGAGGTGCAGGGTAGCAGGCTGGCGCAGCGGGTCACCAGGGCCTGCCTGGAATAGTGGGGAGGCTGAGGGCCACCGAGCAGACAGCCTGGGTTTGAATCTTACCTCCGGGCTGTCAAAGCTTAAGCAAGTCACTTGCCATCTTTCAGCCCACACTCATTCTGTAAAACATGGGACTTCTCATTCCAGTCTTTTGGGGCCATTGTGAGAATTGCTTATTGTTTTCACTAAAGAGTAGTAAAAGTAAAAGTTAACATTTGTCTGTAACAGGCTCCATTCCATGTACTAAGTACTAAATCATTTGCTTGGGCAGGTCACTTCTCAGAGTCTCCATTTGTCATCTGTATCTTGGGGCTATAGAAAAGGTGCTGCGACATTTAGCATCCATTGAGCCCTTTCTTTGTCTTGGAGTTTGTCGATTCACATGTGGCCTGGACCTAGGGCTAGGTAGACAGTAGTGAGTGTGACTGTTACTCTGCCCACCTCAGTCCTCCACCTCCTGAGTCACCGCCCCCTCTCCTTCATCTTCTGCAGTCTACGCCATCCGTGAGGCGGCCACCAGCAACCTGAAGAAGCTGGTGGAGAAGTTTGGGAAGGACTGGGCCCATGCCACCATCATCCCCAAGGTCTTGGCCATGTCCGGCGACCCCAACTACCTGCACCGCATGACTACTCTCTTCTGCATCAATGTGAGCACGCCCACCTGCCCACTGGCCGGTCCCTTGGGGGCGGAGCACCTGGGAGAGGAGGGGTGGCAGAGGGTCCTCAAGGGGGGCACCAGGCACGGGGAAGCGATGGGATCTGGGGTTGCAGGGATGAGTCCTTGGGGAGCAGCAGGCCAGGGGCTGGGGCCCCCGGGGGTGGGGACCTGCGTGGTGGGAGACATGGCCCGTCGAAGAAGTGATTGCCAGACCTCTCTGAGCACCCTCTCCTTCCCCACAAAATGTGTGTGTATCTATTCATGGTGTAATGGCTAAATGTGCAGCTTCTCGAATCAGACCTACTTTTTTAATCCAGCTTTGCCATGTGTTAGCTGCGCACCTCGAGAGAATCACCTCACTGCTTAGTGCCTCGTTTCCTCACCTGTAGAGGACTCATGCTGTTGATTACAGCACCAGGTTCACGAGGCTGTGAGGCTCAATCTGGTCATACACGCAGTGCATTCAGAACAGCTCCGCAACGTGCAGAAAGTGCTCCGGTCTGGTCACTTAAACACACCGTGCACGTGACTAGAAATTAAAGGCTAGGATTTAAAAACTAACATAGCTAAGTGTTCTGATGCTTTCTTCCCATGCCCTACTTCAGAGACCACTGCACTGAGGAAGGAAGTTAGGAATCAAGTCCTATCCCCTGAAGAAGAAGGGAAATGCGAGGATGGGGAGACGGGACTGGGGCAGTGTGGGCTGGGGCGCTTCTAGGGCAGGGAGACAGTGGTGGTAGGAGGGCGTCAGGGGAGTTGGGAACTCCATCTCTGCCCTCAGGGCGGGCACACTGGGCTCCGAGTTCCCGAGTTGCTCAGCTCCACCCTCAGGCCTGACAGTCACCACAGTGGCCTGGTCAGAGGGAGGGAGAAATGGCAGTTAGCCGTGAACTTTGGGTCATGGCCCTCTGCTCCTTACTGGCCTCCAGGTGCTGTCTGAGGTCTGTGGGCAGGACATCACCACCAAGCACATGCTGCCCACAGTGCTGCGCATGGCTGGGGACCCTGTTGCCAACGTCCGCTTCAACGTGGCCAAATCCCTACAGAAGATAGGGCCTATCCTGGACAACAGGTGAGGCCTGGATCTTCCTTCACACGTGGCTGGTTTTAGGCATCTTAATCTCTGACCTTTGAATGTAGAGCCTAGAGTTTGAGGCCCAGCACTTCTCTCTGCTCGCTGTGTGACTTTGAGGTCTTACTTTCTTCAAAAGTAGAATGAGAATTCCCATGGCCTGCCTCACCTGGTGGGGGGGTGAGAGGTGGCAGTTCTGTGTACGAGCAACAAATCTCTAGAAAATAAAATTAACGTGTGTGTGTAACGTACAGTTGTACCAGGAACATCAAATACCAAGGAATAAATGTAATGAAAGCTGCGTAAATACCTCTACTGAGAACTGTAAAACGTGGCTTTGAGAAATGAAAGAAGACCTGTGTAATATTCACGGGCGCGTTGGTTCCCAGGTTCACCTATACAGTTAGTTAATCTCAGTCAGTCTCAGCAGGTTCTTTCATGGAAAATGGTTGATTCTGGAGCTAACATGAAAATTCAAAGGCCTGGAATAAGCACGCTCGTCCTAAAGAATAACAGAGGTGGAAGGCTTACACTGCTAGATAGCGACTCTTAGCATGACGCCACCGGAATTAAACAGCGAGGTGTCTGCACAGCATTCAGGTAGCTCAGTGGGACAGAGTGCAGGGCACAGAAACAGACCCTCACCTACAGAACAGCAGGGGCCACCGCAGTTCAGGAGGGAACTGGGGCTACTTTCCATGGGTGGCTGGGTCGGAAGGGCTAACCTTAAAAAAGCTCGGTGCACAGCTGGTGGTGAGGAGCAGCCTGGTGTGGGGGGAACGACTGGAACTCTGATATTGCCGGTGGGGTTGTAGATGGTAAATGGGCACAGTGACTGAAAATTGGTAAAATCGAGTGAAGCTAATCAGACGTCCGCCCGTGAGCCTGCATGTCCTCTCCTGTGTGTGCATCCAAGAGAAGTGACTGCTTGTTTCTAATAAAAGAATGTTTGTGAGCCTTAGTCATATTAGCCATGGGGTGGAAACGGCGCAGGTGCGCGTTGACAGTCCAGTGGATCAGTTGGGGTTTGTTCATACGGTGGGAGACTAGGCAGCGATGAAGAGACTCCTGCTGTCCACCCCACCCCACTGACCCATAGACGTGTGTGTGAGAAGCCGGCCCGAGAAAACTGTCCTGGGATGATTCCATTGATACCAACTTCAAAAATAGATAAAGGGCTGTGGATGATAGAAGTGAGAATAATGGTGTTACATGGGGTGGCGGCGCTGGCTGTCCGCTGGACGGGGACATGTGAAGCCCGCATCTCTTGATTTCTCCCTCTGTCTGTCCAGGGCGTACACCTTTAGTTTCCTTCTGAAGTCCACCTTCACTTCCCCGAATAACTGTCAGTGCAGACACATTTCCCTGGGCCCCTTCCTGTGGGGCCCACGACCGCCTCTTGGGCACTTGCCACTCCTGATACTCGTCATCAGTTTGGTGTTTGTCTTCCTCAAGCCCAGGCTCTGGGCGAGAATCAGGAGGGTTGGATTTACCGCTGTGTTCACACCTGGTGCGCAGTAGGCCTCAGGAAATGTGTCAAATGGATGAAAGGCTTCCCTTTGCTGAGGCTCAGACTTGTGGGTTCTGGAGCCTCTGCCCTGCTTTCCCAGACTGTCCGATCTCCCTGTTGTGGGCCCCAGGGACCACTGTCCTGGTTTGTCAGACATCCAACCTTCCATCATATCTCTGGCCTCAGAGACTCTTACTTCACTTGGTGTCTGTGTCTGTGCACACCTTGTGCCCCCGTCCGCCGGGCTGACCCCTCCCTCTTCCCCTTCCAGCACCCTGCAGAGCGAAGTCAAGCCCATCCTAGAGAAGCTGACCCAGGACCAGGACGTGGACGTCAAGTACTTTGCCCAGGAGGCTCTGACTGGTAAGGCGCTGAGAACTTGGAGGGGTGGCAGGGTCGGGGGTCTGTACTAGGCCTGGGAGCAGCAGCTCCTGGGGAGGGGGAGAGGCAGGAGCAATTGTGGGCGGAGGGCCAGCTGCAGATCTGACTCCCACCTGTTCTGTTCCCCTAGTCCTGTCTCTCGCCTGATGCTGGAAGAGGAGCCAACGCCGGCCTCTGGTGTCTGCCCTTCCCCCACAAAGCCCCTCCCTCGGGGAGACGGTGGGGGGCCTTTGGTTGTCACTCCCTGTGCATGGTCTGATCCCAGGCCCCTTCCCCCAGCACGGTTCCTCTTCTCCCAGCCTGGGAATCTGACTTCTCACCGTCCACCTCTCAGGGGCTGGGGGGACACAAGGTGGGACAGGGCAGTGACCCTGGGAGGGAGGGGCCGCTCCCGCCTGCGCTGGGGGAGAGATTCCGAGCACCCCAGGTTGCTGGCTCCTGCGCTGTAATGGGGACCCCTCCCCCATCTACTTCACCCCCTGTCCCTTCCCCTCTGTGGTTTTTTTGTGTCAACTGTGCCGTTTTTATTTTATTCCTTTTTTCCCCTTTTCACAGAGAAATAAAGGTCTAGAAGTAGCTGGTCCTCTGGTCTTAGTCACTGGCACCAGCCCAGGGCCACAGTCTCAGCCTTTTCTCTGGGGAGGACCCAATTACTGGGCTTGCCACACCTGTGTCCTGCGAGTTGGGGGAATTGTCTGAGAAGCCGCTGGGAGTGCAGCTGGTCTCGGATGGAGGGTCCACGAGGTGCCTCTGGCCGGCAGTCCTGATCTGCAGTTCAGTTTTGCAGTGGTGAAGGGCCGGTGCCTTGGAGCCAGGCTGCCTGTGTCCAAATTCTAGTTCTTTCAGTTAATTGCTACGTAGGTTGCCCAGTCTCTTTGAACTCAGTTTACAAAACTCTGTAAAACAGGGGTAACAGTGGAATCCAGGTCATGGGGCCAGTGTAAAGACTGAGTAAATACACGTAAGATGAGTAACAAGTATGTGGCATGAGACAGGAGGGTCAGGGTTAGTCTTAGCTTGCCGGAGAGCCCCCTGCGGGCTGGGCCCTGGCCCTGCGGGTGTCTCGGGTAATCAGGGCTGTAGTGGGGAGCAGGCAGAGGACTGAGGTTAGACAGAACCAGTTGTCTCACGATGTATGTTTCTTTACTAGATACAGACACTCTGAGTTTTCGCTGGGCACGTGCCTGGGTTCAAGGTATTTTCCCAGGGTCTCTTACAGTTCGGTGTGGTGGTGTGTCTACGTTCTGGCCAGTAACAAGCGGTACGTGCAGCTTCTAGGAGGTGTTCCTCCCTGGGGAGATGTGCTCCCCCTCCTCTCCTCCTTCCTGTGCTCCGGCATGTGGATCCGATGGCCAGAGTGGGAGCAGCCATCCCAGGCCGGGAAGCTATCTTCAGCGTGTGGACCCAGCAAGGCAGCAGAACCAGATAGGAGCAGCCTGGGTTCCTGATGCTCTGAAGATCCACACCAGTTACCAGTCCCCTGGGAAAGGTAAACTGTTGGGGCTTTTGTTACCTGCAGGTCACCCGAATTCTAACTGGTGCAGGGACCAAAGAGCCCCAGAGAGAGGAGCCCAGACGTGGTGGATGGTGGTGCGTGTAAGGTTTACAGAGGATGTGGCGCCTGAGAGAATCCTGGCTTAGCAGGGTGGAGGGGAAGTTGGCATTGGATGACAGGGCTACTTCACCAGCTCCTCAGCTATCATGTCACTGCCTCTCTGCTGTTTGCTAGACCAGATTGAACCCTGCGGGATGAGGGTGAGGGAGACCCTATTCCTCCTGTTATTAGCTTACATGAGTTTCGTAAGAGCAGGACCTGTGGTTTAAACTCAGTCTCCCAACCCCCACCCGACAAAAGTGTGCCTTTCCTGGGCTATAAACATTTGAAGAACTGAGGGAGTGAAGAGTGCCTGAGATTGGGAGGAGGGCAGTGTGATCACGTTCAGTGTGACGTTGCTCAAGCCTGGTCAGCAAGCTACCAGTAAATGCTGAAGGAGCGTTCACGTGATGATCCCTGGGGCTCCACTTCCATTTTACTGCATAACAACCCATCCCCCAAGCTCAGTGACTTAAAACAGTGAAATGTGTGATTCCTCACAGTTCTGCGGCCTCACCTTGGCTCGTTGGGAAGGTGCTTCCTCTCCATGTGATGTCTCCCGGGGCTGCAGTGTTGACAAGGACTTCTTCACTCCCGGGTTGGTGCCTCCACCGAGGCCCAGTGTAGCATTTCTCACCATGTGGCCCTTCCGGGGTGGCTGGACCTCTTTTATCTGATGGCTCATGGCTCCACGGCAGTTTGCCAGAGAGCAAGTCCCACTTTACAAGTGCTGCTTGAACTTAAACCTCTGCTGCACCACGAGCCAGAGCAAGTCCTGTGGCCAAGCCCAGAGCCAGCATGGGAGGGGCCCACTCAAGACGTCAGACCTGCAGGTGCGGTGTGTGGAGGCTGCCAAGGCAGCAGTCCTACCATACGTGGTCCTGAGACAAACTCTGAGTTCCAGCTTAGCTCCTCTGCTCACATGCAGAGGCGTCAGCAGCATAAGGGGATGAGGCTGACTCCAGGGTGAATAGAGTTCCTTGGAGCAAGCTGAAGATGTGAACTTTATCCTGGAAGGCAGAAGCAGCCACAGAGGGCTTTGGCAGAGGAATGACAGCATCAGAGTTGAAGTGGGGAGACTTGAGGCTGAGACTCGCGGGAGGATTCTGGTCTAAGTGAGAAAAGAGATTTTAGCTGGAACCCGTACTGTGGAGTTAGGGAGGTAGCCAGCAAGAAGGGTGACAGAAAGATGGATTCCCAAGGAGACAGATTGGGACTTGGTGACACCTGGATTCAGGGAGTAACAGGAAGGATGCAGTCACCTTGGCAACCAGGATTCAAATCTTCCCAGCCTCATTACCCACTCCTCCCTGGGATGATGGTCCATGCAGTCGAGGACAAGACCTCAAGTGGGGCTGTGGTCCAGGACATAGGGCAGAGACATTGAGGAGGCAGACTTGATGCCACTTCCCCTTTTCAAACCCACAAGAAATTGCCCAAGGAGCAGCCGGAAGGAAGGCCCTGACTCTCTTGTCCTTGGTTCTAATCAGAATATCTGAAATCTCCCCGCATGCCTGTCATCCACCCTCCTGTCTGCAGGAAATCAGTCCCTGCACCAGCCACTCCCTTTAGTCCTCTGTTCAGCTGTGTTTTCCAGATGAGGGAACAGACCCAGAGTGTTTGGGGTGTGTGATGTGTGCTCTTACAGACTGACCTGACCAGAACTCCACAGATCTCCCAGAAGAAAAAAAATGCCTTACTTTCCTCTGGTACCTTAAGATCCTTTTTGGGACCAGCTAAGGAAGGAAGCTGGCCCTACAAGCTAGACGAGGAAGAGCGAGGCATGGCTGGCTTAGTAGCACTGTGGGAGATGCGGGTCCTGCTCTCTAAGTCATCATGCTCAATGTAGAGATCCTTCTTCGTGAGTCGTCGGGGCAAAACCTGGTCTGACCTGAACTGCTCTGGTGACAAAACCTGACTTAAACTGCTGTTTAGAATTTTATCCCTTTTATATGGAATAAGGCACAGCAGAAATGTTCTGTGTTAGGAATATATTGAATTAATAATGAAAAAAAAAACTATACACAAAGAAAAGTCCAGGCCCAGATGGCTTCACTAAATCCTGCCAAAACATTTAAAGAATTAAGTACCAGTTCTTCACAAACTCTTTCAAAAAATCAAAGGGGAGGGAACACTTGCCAGCTTATTCTATGGCCAGTATTAACCCCGGTAACTAAAACCAAACAGAAACACCAAACAAAAAAAATCTATAGGCCATTATCTCTTAGGAACATAGATGCAAAAATCCTCAAAAATATTGACAAGCTGAATCTAGCAACACAAAAAAGAATTACACACCATGAGCAAATGGAATTTATCCCAAGCCTTCAGGGTGAGTTTAACATCAGGAAAATCAACATACTGCACCAGATCAGCAGAAGAAAATGCAACACCATCGCCTCTGGTGCAAAAACAAGCCTTTGACAGAATCCAACACCTTTTTGTGATAAAAGCACTCAGCAAACTGGGGATAGAAGGGAACTTCCTTACCCTGATAAAAGGCGCCTCCAAACCCCCACAGCTAATGTAACACTGGTGCAAGACTGAATACTTCCCAGTAAGATCAGGGACAAGATGAGGATGTCCACTCTTGTCACTTCTGTTCAACATTGTACTGGACATTCTAGCCAGAATAGTTAAGGAAAAGAAAAGGCTTGCAGATTGGAAAGGAAGGAAGAAGGAAAACTGTTTGCAGATGACATGATCTTGTATATAGGAATTCCTAAGGAATCCACTAAAAAAAAATTGAGCTAATAAACACATTCAGCAAGATTTGCAGGATAGAAGATCAACATACAAAAATTTCTATTACTGCAGAAGATAACACGTGTTTGGTAAGAAGTTGGAGATATTGGAACCCTCAGACACTGTTGGCGAGAGTGTAAAATGTTGCCACCACTTTGGAAAACATGCCGGCAGTCCCCCTGAGTTACCGTTTTACCCAGCAATTCCACTGCTAGGTATATACTTAAGAGAATTGAAAACACAAGAACTTGTATGCAAATGTTGGTAACAGCATTGTTCACAAGAGCCAAAATGTGGATCCCACTCACATGGTTATCAGCTGATGAATGACAAATACAATGTGGCACACCCATATAGTGGACGTTGCTTAGCTGTAGATGAGCAAAGTGCTGACCTGGGCTGCAACACGGGTGGACCTGGAGAACAGGTGCTAAGTGAAAGAAGCCAGACACAGAGGGCCGTGTGTTACTGTTGGTGAGAATGTAGTTCGGTGCAGCCACTATGGAAAACAGGATGGAGGTTCCTTCAAACACTAAAAATAGAATTACTGTATGACCCAGCAATCCCACTCCTGGGCATATATCAGGAGAACTCAAGTTGAAAAGATACATGCACCCCAATGTTCATAGTAGCATTATTTACAATAGCCAAGACACGGAAGCAACGTAAATGTCCATGGACAGATGACTGGATAAAAAAGTTGTATATATACACAATGGAATATTACTCAGCCATAAAAAGTGAAATAAAGCCACTTGCTGCAACATGGACCTAGAGATTATCCTACTAACTGAAGTAGGTCAGATGGGGAAAATCAAATACATGATATCACTTATATGTGGAATATAAAAAATGGAGCAAATGAACTTATTTACAAAACAAGCAGACTCAGAAAATAAACTTAGGTTACCTAAGGGGATAGGGATGGGGGAGGGATTAATTAGAAGTTTGGGATTAGCAGTTATAAACTACATATGTAAAATAGATAAACAACAAGGTAATACTGTGTAACAGTAATAACCTATTGTAATAACCTATATTGAAAAAATATAACTATCATTTGCTGTACACCAGAAACTAACACAACATTGTAAATCAACTAAACTACAATTTTTTTAAACAGGCTGTATATTGTATGTTTGTATTTACATGAAATGTCCAGACGGGGCAAATCTGTAGAGACAAAGTAGATTAGTGGCTGAGACCTTGAGGGGTGGTGGTGGGTGGGGGCCATGGGCAATAAAAAGTGACCGCCTAATGGGTATCAGGTTTCTTTTCCGGGTGATGAAACATCCCGGAATTACTGGAGATGATTTCACAACGTTGTAAGTCTGCTAAAACCCATGGAATTGTACACCATGGAAGGGTGACTTCTATGGTGTAGGAATTACATTTCAATGAAAAGCCACCACCTCCAAGCCCTGTCTGGCAGCAGGCCGGAGTTGGCCCACTGGCTACCTCAGTCCAGGTAAGTAGGTTTGTAAGAATAAAACAGTTTTCTTCTCCCTTCTCCACAGAGTTGTTGGCCCTCTGTATCCTCACGTTCCACACCCACAGGTCGAAAATACTTGAGAAAAACAATCCGGAAAACTCTAAACGCCAGAACTTGAGTTTGTGGCATGCTGACAGCTGTTTACATTGTATTGGGTACTGCAAATAATCCAGACGTGATTTAAAGTGTACAAGAGGATGTGCATAGGTTATGTGCAAATATCACAGCATTTTATGCAAAGGGCTTGAGCATGTATGGATTTGGGTGTCTGGGGGGATTCTGGGGCCAATTCGCATATCTGGCTGGGTGACTTTCAAGTGCTGTTTAGAAGAGGGTTTTCTGACTCAGGTGTGCTGTCGATGTCTGTCTTCATCGCTTGATAATTAGAATGTATTTGGAATTTTTAAAATCCTTTGATGGCAGCTGAGACTTCCGGACCCAGAATATGGTCAAATCTTGTAAATCCCTTTGTGTCACTGAGTAGGACGTGTTGTCAGCAGATCTCGTGAGCAACATCCTACATGCGTCCGAAAGACCAGGAGGCGGAGAGAAATGAGTTGGTAAAAACAGATTCTAAGTCATTCCACATAGAGGCAATGAGAAGAGGAACAGAAGGGTAGAAGAAATTGAAAGCATGAAAGGGAGGTGGCAGATTTAGGCCCCAGTGTATCTGTAAGCACATTAAGTATAATTGGAACTAGGTACCAGTTAACAAAGATTGTCAGATTGGATTTTCTAAAAAAAAATGCCATTAAATAGTAATCACAAGAAAGCTGATGCCCCTATATTTGATATCAGAGAAATGACTTGAAATGAGAAGGTTGTGCTCGATGTAAAGAAGGTAATCTCACAATGATAAGAAGACTGGCTTCACCTATGAAATACAAAGTCTACATTTTATGCCTCTATAACCATGACTTCAAAATACATAAAGCAAAAATTTACCAAATAGGAAAACAGGCAATTCTACAATGAAAGTGGGAGTTTAACAATTTCCTTAGTATTAATTTTTTTAAGCTGAATTAATTTAGAAACAAGTAGCGGTGTGCCTACCCCAAGTAAACTTGGTCTTTTGGACGTGTACATAACTTGGCTTCCCTGAACTTCAAGTCGGGAGAATCAAAACAGTGAGTGATGCTAAGTATAAGTTTAGGAGCAGCACCCAGGACGCAGGCTTTGCTTGCTCCAGCCTGACCCTTTCTGTGAGCCCTGGCGCTAGCTGCTCCAGGTCCTCCATCCTGTCGGAGGGAAGAGACCAGGCTAGAGCCGGGGTGAGCTCCGTGGCCCAGATTTGCCCTCCCCTGCAGGCCTGCACCACGGCGGTGCCGGAGCCGGAGCCGTCTCCAGTGGCCTCTTCTACGACGCGGTTCACCAGAACCCCCGCACTAACGCTGCCTCCCTTTTTGATGATTCCGCTTCTTAGGATAGATTTTCTTTCTTTCTTTCTTTCTTCTTTTTTTTTTTTTACCACCGGCTTCTCCGTTCAATCCATGAACTGCTTCCGCCTAGGTGACTTGGCAGTGGGTGAGTTTGAGGAGCCTTTTGGTGCCTTTGGCTGCTGTGACTTCGGTGGTCTGAGTAGAGGTTCGCGCGGAGCCCCTGAGGCCCACCTGTGGGGCTTGGAATGCAGGCGTCCCTGGAGAATTACCAAGGCGGCCCACCAGGGGGCGCTTTGTTCCCAATGAGTAAACGGTTCATGTAAAGGAGGAGGTCCTGCGTACTGTCAAGCATGGAGAGAAGGAAGGCACCAGGTTCATCTTCCCAGATGAATGATGACAGGGCTGAGAACATCTCTCAGACGTCCTTGTGCCCAAAGACAAGTTCCATGCACACTTATGCAGGGGTGCACGAGTGTGGTCCAGAGTTCATCGCTGAGTCACAAGGACGTGGAACCTGGATCCGTTTTCAGCTGTGTGGGTGGGTGGTGAGGGTGAAGATGATCGGGGTGTTTTCATTTATTCCCTCGAGGCTGGCTGTTCTTTTCCCCCTTCATTCATTTCCTACTCATTCTACCTCAACCTCTTTCTCACTCTGTGCCTCATTTTCCCTAAGGCAGCATGTGGTTACCTCCTGACCATTCCGCCATTACTGGAGGATTCCTCTGCACTGCGATGAAGTCGTCAAGCCAGGTATGTAGTCTCCACAGGGAGGGGCTCCTCTTTCCCGTGGTGCCACCCGAGGGGAGGTGTCAGTGTCAAGATCATTTTGTTTCCCGAGTAGCATCATGAGACAGACCCTGACATATTTGTAGGCCTTGCCCTGCTCTTCTGTTTCAGCATTAAAAAAAAAAAGTGTCCAGTTAGACACCTCTACCGAACAACCTCCCACTAGTACTTCCGGGCACTGGTTATATTTTCTAACCTACGACAACAACAGTGCTGCTTTCTGCGGAAATGTTCCTGTCCCTGCTCCTGGTCCTCTTGGGAGTGGGTGCTGCCTTGTAAAGGCAGGGAGTAGGGAGAACTGGCACAAGTTGGGTCAATTTTTATGTCCTTAGCTTGGAAGCCATTTCCATCCAGTGGCTGGAGAGAGACCTGGGTGCTGCTCGAAACACGAATAGATTTCTTGCCCAGGCCTGCAAATAGAATGTCTTCCTTCCCTCCCAGTTTAAGGCCTGCCCTCTGCTTAGTCTTCTGGCCAGTGTCCAACAGTCAAGTAGCCGGGGCTCCTGCAGGCATTCATGCATCACTGCCCTTCCCGCAGAACGGCTTGCCCCGACTCTGGGTTGAGACAGGAAGGGGAGGGCAGTAGCCTCTCAATACTTTTCATTTGGGGGTGAGTGTTGAACAAGACCCACAGCGAGGTTCCTAATAGCTCCCCGGCTTCCCCACACTTGGAGCTGGATGGTCTATTCTCCCTACTACTCCAGAGGGTATACACGCAGGGTGGGGAAACAGCAGGGTGGGAACTGCTGTACTTTCCCGTTGAGGCTGAGCTATGGGGTGGGGAGCAGAGTCCAGCTCCTCAGCCTCCACTGGGAAAGTTAAGGTGCTCTTGGAAGCGGGAGGCAGCGACTCGTCATGAAGACTTTCAGGGTCACAGATGTCCCTCTATGCCTCTGAAGCCAGAGTCTAGTCCACCCAAACTTCTAGTTTCTAATTTGTGACACGTGGAGCTACTTTTCTTGGACCCTTCCTGGAGGTTGGGTGGGGGAAATTAGCTCTACGAAGCCCATAGCCCCACTCACTGCCAGGCGTGTAACGTTTAAAGCGCTGAGGGAGTGGCAGGAAGCACTGCTTTAGCTCGGTCATGCGATTGGGTCTTTCTTAGATTTCCTCATTTGGACAATTCCCTGGATTTTTCCCCAATTTTTAAATTGTAGTAAAATACACTTAAAATTTACCATCTTAACCATTTTTAAGTGTACAGTTCAGTAGAATTAAATACATCCATAATGTTGCACAGCCACCACCACCATCCAACTCCATAACTCATTTCATCTTGTAAAACTGAGACACTATACCCATTAAACAGTAATTCAATAGCCCCTCATTCCCCCTTTACCCAACCCCTGGAAGCCACCTCTCTGCTTTCTGTCTCTATGATTTTGACTAATATAAGTATTTCATGTGAGTGTAATCATACAGTATTTGTCCTTTTGTGACTGGCTTATTTCACTTAGTGTAATGCTTTTATTAACCCCAAACAATAAAACAGCCAGTTATTTTACCAGCAAAGTGGGTTTATTCAGAAGCAGCAAAGAACTGAAATTTTGGACATGCAACTGTGGTGAGCAAACCACATGGAAGTCTGGTAAAGCAAAGGAGAGGAGACTTGCATAGAGGAGAACAGAAATTTGAGGTGGTGGTGGAGGGCTGTTATCAAAAAAAATCCATCGCAGGAAACTGGGAGTTCAAAGTGCAGTCACTTTTTATTGTCTGAGTTACGACGGTCTCTCATGGCTGAGCTGTTGCCAAGCAGCGAGAAAATCTTTCTTCCTTTTGCTGGTGGTGTTAGGGTACTGTCACTTCCTGCCACAGATGCAAGTTAAGGCCTCTTCCTGTTGGGATCTGTATTGAGAGCTCCCCCTTCTGGTCTCCGGACTCCGTTTTAATGAAGTTTCCCTTTATTAGTTATCACATCCTCAAGGTTCATCTGTGTTGTATTATATTGCAGAATTTCCTTTCCTTTTAGGCTGAATAATAATCCATTTTATGTATCTACCACATTTTATCTGTCTGCTCATCTGTTGATGGACAGTTGGGTTGCTTCCATGTTTTAGCTATCACATATCTCCTTGGGACCCTCCTTTCAATTCTTATGTACAGATACCCAGATGTGGAATTGCCACATCATATAGTAATACGACTTCTCATTTGCTGAAGAACTGCCATCCTGTTTTCCAGCGGCTGTACCGTCTTACATTCCTACCAGCAGTGCACACGATTCTAATTGCTCCACATTCTTGCCGTTGCTTGTTGGTCTTAATTGTTTTGATAGTACTGCCCTAGTGGGTATGAGATACTGTTTCATTGCACTTTCACTTTGCATTCCCCTAATGAATAGTGAGATTGAACATTTTTTCATATTGCTTATTTGCCATATGTGTATCTTCTGTGGGAAAATGTCTGTATAAGTTCTTCACCAATTTTTGAATTGGGTTATTTCTGAGGGTTTTTTTTTTGAGGTTTAAGGATTCTCTCTATATTCTGGATATTAATCCCTTATCAGGTATATGATTTCCAGATAATTTCTCCCCTTAAGTGGATTGTCTTTTTACTCTGATGATTCTGCTTTTGATGCACAAAAGCTTTTGAAATTTTATGAAGTTCAGCTTGTCTATTTTTCCTTGTGTTACCTGTGCCTCTGGTGTCAAATCCAAAGAAGTCATTGCCATATCTAATGTGAAATTTTTGCCCTATGTTTTCTTCTACAAGTTTTATTTACATGTAGGGCTTTGATCCACTTGGAGTTAATTTTGGTAAATGGTGTTATGTAAGGGTCCAACTTTATCCATTTGCATGTGGATATCCAATTTTCCCGGCACCATTTGTTGAAAGAACTGTCCTTTCCCCACATTTTCCCACATTGCCCAGAACTTGGGTGAGAGAATTTTCTGCTTGTTCCAGGAAGCGATCTCACACCCCCTAACCAGGATTGTGAAGGATCTTTGTATATAAGCTGTGAAAAAACTTGAGACCAAATACAACCCATGGGGGGAAAAAAAAACTTAAGAGACCAAAGGAGAATTGTCTCTCAACATGGTGCAACTTTCCCTTTAAAACATGAGGATAACCAATCCTCTGAACAAAAAGTTCTGCTGAAAATTTTTGGCACCAAGACTAAACTTGATTGTGTAACACACTGGAGTTGTAAAGATTGAGAGAGACAAGAAGAGACAGAATTACCAAGAGGCTTGATAGAAATCAGCTCCAAGGGTGAGGGGACTTTAAATTGGATGAGGCAATGATGGGTGACAGCAAATAAAAAGAAAGGCAAATACAACGCTTTCAGAATAAATTGAAATGTCTTTTTTTTAAAAAAATGTGTTATCTTGATGGATAAGAAGACTTTAGCCACTAGCTACACACATAACAAATTATTCTGAGTAGACTGCTGATGTAAATTTTAAGGGTATAAGATGATGATTTTAGAAGAAAACGAAGGAGAATATTTCTAAGATCTTATAATAAGAAAGCACGTCTTAAATAGAACAAAAATACTGACTATAAAGGAGGACATGACAAATATCATATTGAAATCAGGAGCTTCTAGAAAAGAAAAGTAGCACATGATATCACTCATGTAGAATCTTAAAAAAAAGGAAAAAAAAGGACACTGTGAACTCATCTACAAAACAGAAACCAACTCTCAGGCATAGTAAACAATCTTAGGGTTACAGGGGAAAGGAGTTGGGAAGGGGTGAATTTGGGAGTTTGAGATTTACAAATGTTAGCCACGATGTATAAAAATAGATTTTAAAAAGTTTCTTCTGTACAGCACAGGGAACTATATTCAATATCCTATAATAACCTTTAATGAAAAAATATGAAAATGAATATATGTATGTATCTGCATGACTGGGACACTGTGCTGTACACCAGAAGTTGACATGTTGTAACTGACTGTACTTCCATTTAAAAAAATTTTTAGTGAAAAAAAACTTTGTTATAAACAGCAAAAAAAGAAAAATCAATAGCTTCTATTCATCATAAGACACCAAGATACAGAAATAGAGCCAAGAAAATCTTCTGATTTAATGTATATGAAGAACTCTTTAAAGTTCAGTAAGAAAAGGACAGAAACACAAAAGAGAAAAAATGACAAAACAACAGACACTTGAAGGTAAAAGTACCCAGGCTTCTTGATCAAGATGACGGTGTCAGAGGGCATGGAGCTCACCTCCCTCCATGAACACAGCAAGGACACATCCGCACGTGGGGAAGTTCTCCCTGAAAACTAAGGGAACTGGCAGAAGGACTCCCATACAACCACGGTTGTGAGAAAGGTACGCACATAATCATGTAGGAAGGGAGAAAAGCAATTGGGTTGGGACCTGTGTCCCACAGTGCACTTTTAAACACACTGCACTCATCAACCCCCATGTACATTTAACCCTTACACTCTCATCCTGCACTGTCACCTCCAAGCCCCAGGCTCCAAGCACCACCACGATCTTGCTCCCGTGTCTCCTTTCCCTGTGTCCTCTTTCTTTCCACCTTGCTCTGCCACACCTGTTCTCGGTCATGCCCCACACACTCCAACTTCCTCAGCAAACTCCCCTCACTCTTAACCTCCTATGGCAGAGCTCATTAGCATTTTTTTTCTAATTTTCTATTGTGGTAAATAAAAATATAAAAATTTTCAGTCTTAACTCCTCCTAAGTGTTCAGTTCAGGGGTTAAGTGTATTCATATTTTTGTCCAACCTAGTCACTACTATTCATCTTCAGAACTCCTTTCATCTTGCAAAAGTGAAACTCGTTACTCATGGGGCAATAACTTCCTATCTCTCTGCCCCTAATGACTTGACAACCACCTTTTATTTTTATCTATATGACTTTTTACTACTATAAATTCCTTATCAAAATAGAATTGTACAAATCATATTGTCTCTTTGTGACTGGCTTATTTCAATTTGCATAATATTCTCAAAGTTCATGCATGTGTGGCATATATCATTATTTCCTCCTCTTTAAGCCTAAATTACATACCAGTTTATTTTTATATATGATGTGATTAAGTATTCCAGTTTGATTGTTTTGCATGTAACTGTCCAGTTTCCCAATGCGATTTATAGAAGAGGCTGTCTTTGCCCTATTATATCTTCTTGCCTCCTTTGTCATAGATTAACTGACCATATAAACATGGGTTTATTTCTGGCCTGTCTATACTGTTTCGTTGATCTATGTGTCTGCTTTTGAGCCAGTACCACACTGTTTTGATGCCTGTGGCTTCGTAGTATAGTTTGAAATCAGAGATCATGGTACCTCCAGCTTTGTTCCTAATCAAAGGGTTTTGGCTAATGCTTTTGCATTTCCATACAAATTTTAGAGTCATGTCTTCTAGTCTGTGAAAAATGCTATTAGTATATTGCTAGGGATTGTATTGAACCTGTGCAGTCTTAGGGACTATGATCACTTAGTAATATTAATGCTTCCAGTCCTTGGGCACAGCATTTCTTTACATTTATTTGGTGCTGTCTTCAATTTCTTTCATCATGCTTATTATAGTTTTCCAAGTACAGGTCTTTTACCTCCTTGGTTAGAATTACTCTTAGATATTTTATTGTCTTTGATACAATTTTAAATGGTGTTACTTTATTAATTTCATTTTTGATAGTTTATTTCTAATATATTTACAGAATAATTTTACTTCATTTTATTGCTTAACTATTTTACTATCAAAGTTACTATGTTTTTTACTCTTATATTACCACAAACATTTACCACAAACTTAAGCATTTTAATACAACATCTGTCTTCTTTTTTTTTTTTTTGCTCTGTTGACGTATAATTAAATAGACAGTGTATCTATTTAAGGCATACACCTTGATGTTTTGATTACAACCATTTGTTTCTTATAGTGCTTAGATCAGAAAATTGCAGCACCTTGGCTGCATACTCCAATTAGGATGCCCCAAGACAAGTTAAGGTGTCACCCAGTTTGGCCTCTGTTCTCAAGACTTTGGGGAGAACTCACTTCCAAGACCCTTTATGTTATTGCAGAATTCATTTCTGTCTTATGCAGTCTTTCAGTTCTCCCATGTGCCCACTTAAACTCCATCTTTAATGCCAGAAGTTATGTGTTAAATCCCTCTCGTGGTTCAAGTGTCTGGTTTTCTCTTCTATCGCAACTCTCTGGCTCCCTTCTCTTTTAAGAGCTGTTGTAATTATATTAGACCCACCAGATAATCCAGGACAATCGCTCTATCTCGATATCAGCTGATCCATATCCTTAATGACACCTGCAAATTACCCTTTGCCGTGGAGTGTAATGTACCCACACAGTTTGTGGTATATCCATGGTTGGAGATCTGTCTATTATTTTAAATAATTATCAACATATCTGCAAGTCTATTACCACTGGTTATCCCCTGTGATGACTTTTTATAAGGAAGTGGGGAAAATGTTCTTAAGACTTTTAGTTGTCTTGTTGATTGATTTACCTACAGTAAAGCTTGCAAATGAAAGCTTATAAAAATTCACATAGTTAAAATAACATGTTACTTTAACACTTAAAGTGGTATTTTCAATTTAAAAAAATAAAGTGGTATTTTAGAAATACCACAGCACCTAAAGATATTTTCATCATATCTGTGTTGTGGCATATAATTTCTTTGAGGCATGACAGTTCTTCAGTAATATTTCAGAGATCGGACTTGATGGACTGGTACCTTGTCCCAACGCTTGCAACACTGGATACCAGTGAACAGCCTCCTTTGCGTGACCCACAGAGGTCACATCCTTTAGATGGTTTCCTAAATGAAGGGTGAAATGCTGTTGAGTGTTTACCCAAAATTTTAGTTTCCCTCATATATTGTGTGTCCTATTTAAGTGGTTTTGTGGGCATTTTATGTAAGCAAGATTTTTGCCCCTTGAGCTGAAGTTAGAAACTATCCATGGCTGTTGTGATTTGACCATATTTGGGGAAATTAATGAACAGGGAGTCCAAGAGTGGTCTCCATTCTGCCCACTGCTACCTCCCTCATTCCTCCCCTCCCCTCTCCTGAATTTCCCCTCCCTTAGATACAACTCTCCTGCCTCCACTCTTGTGAGCTGTAGCCATGCACCAAAATCCACCCACTCCTCAACTCTACTCAACTTTCTCAGACTTCTCTGTTGCATCTCCAACTTCCCTCCTGTCACTTTATTGAAATCCATCCCTATGTGACTCCATCCGTTGAAAACCACATCATCTGAGCCCTTATTTTCTTACCTTACATCCACTTCCAAGTCAGAGATCTCAGCCCATTCCCCATGTCCTCCCCCACACCATGCAGTACCCCACCCCAACTCTCAGACATCCTCAGCTACGTCACGCACCCAGTCCATAGCCTGCACCCGTTAGACCAGCCCTGTCATCCCTGACCCTATCTTCTGGGCTCTTTGGCTCACTCATGCCCACAGTCTCCTCAGCTTTCTTGTCTTGTGCCTATTTTTGTTTCTCTCTTGCTGATCATCTCCTCCAGGCTTCACATCCTCTGACACTCTTGGACCACACATTACATTTCTAGCATCTGCCTACCCCACAAGTGCTCCCCTTCCTCCTCTCTCACTATGGTTTTCATCCCTCAAAGATGACAATTCTCTTGGGACTTTTACCAGTCACTGACCATAACATTTTTGCCCCCAATTCCCCATTCCCACTATCTCCCTCATTCCCATGAAATCCTGCACTCCTGTCCCCTGAGAATCCAATGCTCCACATACCTGCCACTTCCCTGCATACTTTTTGACCCTTGTACCCACAAACCTGGTAGTGCACTTTATCCCTCTGGGACATTTCACATTCCTTTTTCTTTATCCTCTTTTCCTGCAGTGTCTTTGTCCCACACTCCAGGCTTTCTTCACCCCTTTTTTCTATACCCTCTCATTCTGATCTATCACACAGCCAGTCACTGCCAGGACCCCAAAAGTGCCACATTTCTTACCATGTGACCCACCTAAGGAGGTAATGCTGAAAGCAATTTTAAAGCTATCTACTGAGGAATCTCCATAGTGTTTTCCACAGTGGCTGCACCAAACTGCATCCACACCAGCAGTGTAGGAGGGTTCCCCTTTCTCCACAGCCTCTCCAGCATTTGACATTTGTGGACTTTTGAATGATGGCCATTCTGACTGGTGTGAGGTGATACCTCATCATAGTTTTGATTTGCATTTCTCTGCTAATTAGTGATATAGGGCATTTTTTTAAATGTGCCTATTGATCATTTGTATTTCTTCTTTGGAGAATTGCTTATTTAGGTCTTCTGCACAGTTTTGGATTGGATTGCTTGTTTCTCTCTTGTTAAGTCGTGTAAGCTGCTTATATATTGTGGAGATCAAGTCTTTGTCGGTTTCATTGTTTGTAAAAATTTTCTCCCATTCCGTAGGTGGTCTTTTTGTTTTACTTACGGTTTCCTTTGCTGTGCAGAAGCTTGTAAGTTTTATTAGGTCCCATTTGTTTATTCTTGCTTTTATTTCTATTGCTTGGGTAGACTGCCCTAGGAGAACAGTTTTGAGGTGTATGTCAGATAATGTTTTGCCTATGTTTTCCTCTAGGAGGTTTATTG